CTGTCTTGAGAATGCAGGCCTAGACATTGAATATGTATATACAATATATATATCAATATATATACAAGGTATATATATACAATGATAACAATGTGATAATTTTTCTCAGATACCTAGGTGGGCTTAAGGCCGCCGCCACACCAGCGATTTTTACAAACGATGAAGCGATTTGAAGCGATGAAGCGATGAAGCCGATGTAGTGTGGCGCTTTCATTGTGAGACGATTTTATTTTATCGGGGTGATCGTTCGCAATCAAACATGTTTGATTTTGAACCGATTGAGCCGATGAAATGAGACTGAGGATTTTAAGGCCCCCTCAGACCTACACGTCGACTCTCATCGCTTCATCGCTCAGTCGCTCGATCGTTGTAATCTGGCTGCGTGCATGTGTGCGGCGCTTAACAATCGACACGCTGTAAAATACACAGATTTAGCTTTCGCGAAATTTACATACGGTTTAAAGCGAAATGCCGTTTAAGTTGAAGTGTGGCGGTTAATGGGTGTTGATGATTTTACCCATGAGTGTCGCGTGCACTACTAGTGCTGTCGCATACATTCCAGAGTATTCACAGCAGTGTGCGAAATATTGGCCGAGTGCTTTGGCTTTACTGTTACGCAAAAAATCTAAAACAATAACTGGTAGATCCGGACGAGCAAATATTATCGTATGTGACCGTATGGAATAATAGTAATATGTCGGGGAGTTCGAGAGAAAGTTCATGTAATTAAACAAGTAATTGCAGGTTGGTAGGGTTAAATTATGGTATTTGAATACATCTTGTAACTCGTGCGGATTATGGAAACCTGTAGTTTCTCGAAATTTACGGGCAATGGCGACTCGTGTGGCGTGGGTGGTGTGTGCGTGCGTGCGTGCGTGCGTTACGACGTGCGTTGCGTGCGTGCGGGCGAGCGATCTAAGTTGTGTGCGTACGCGTGGTATGGGGGCGTGGGTATCGTGTTCGTGCGTCTGTACGGCGTTTGTGCGCGTTGTGCGCAGCGCGTGGCTCGTAACGCTTTGTGCAGTCGTGCGGCGCGCGTGTATGTCGCCGTGCGTGCGCGGGTGTGCGTAGCGCACAGGGTGGTGAGTGCGCGCCGCTGTGATATAATAAATACAAGACAACACTATAACACAGCCTTGATAGCTTACTATCCGTCATCGTCAATCTTGTGCTTGCTCCCGCACGTAACAACAGTAGAGCCCTGCAGTGCGGCGGCAGACGATAGCGAGCGTTCCTTGCGCGTGATGACAGACAACTATTACGAAGCTGCGTTTACTTCGCGGGGCATCTCACAGCACTCACGCGTTATCTTTCTGCCTCGTGAGTAATATTACAGCTTCGCTACGCAGCCATTCAGAGCTGCGCATATTCTCTGACATCGTTGAGCGTACATGATGCGTACGTGTGTGCGTGTGATTGTGGTGTGTGTCGTGTGTTGTGGGTGTGTGTGTGTGTGTGTGCGTGCGTGCTGGTGTGTGTTGTGTGTGTCCTGGTGTGCGTGCTGTGCGTTGGCGTGCGCGTGTGGTTGTGTTGTGTGTGTGCTGTGTGTATGTGATGTGTGTGTGTATGTGTGTGTGTGGCGTATACCCGCGCGTGCTGTGGTGCGTGTGTGTGTTGTGTGTTTGTGTGTGCTGTGTGTGTGTGTGTGGGTGTTTGTATGTGGTGCGTGCGTCGCGGTGTGTGCGCTGTGTGTATTATACTGTAAGTAGATGTGTGTGACACACGCCTTCAGCTGCGGCGGCGGCGGCGGCTAGCTATATCTCAACATTTGTGACCGTGGCCGTGTTGTGCGTAGCATGCGATCTCGTGCGTCTACCTTCTCATCCTCTCACGAGACGAGATCCACGAAGAACACCATAGCGCGGTAACTGCCAACAGTTAGTTAAACGCCGGTGGCGTGGCGCACATCGGCAAGCTGCCGATGGAGGGCCGGCCGGGAGGGAGGGGGGGTAGACTGCGCATGCGTGCGTGGATGTGGTGTGTAAACCGATCGATGATAAGACACGACCTTGCCGAGAAAATCCAACGAACAGTCGCCTACAGCAAGGCAGAAGCGTGGCGAGGGGTCTCCTCCCGTGGGGGGAGAATGGGAGGGGAGGAGGGAGGAGGGCAGGAGGGAGGGGGAGGAAGGCAGGGAGGGGAGCGATGGAGGAATCTAGCGGCGACATGCCACCGTCACTGAACCGCACCCACGCTCAGCCACGGTAGCGTAATAGTTAAATAGTTGTTGTGTGATGGCGCGTATTGCTCTATCATTACCGTTCACGACGTAGCATGATGAAATGCCGGTTATTTGAGGCATTCACACGAGCAAAATTACGAGCAAAGAATACGGTATCTAAACAGATCCGGTTATTTCATGTAAATACGAGCTTCCCAGACCCGATAATTGCCGTGCTTTGAGAAATAGCCGGATTTCTGTACGCGCATCTTCCTCGTCTGTGAACGCTAAGTACCGGATGTTCTGGAAGCCGCGTATGTTTATGTGACTGGTCGCGCTCGAGCAGGTTCCAGTGTAACGCGAGTGGAACTGTCGGAGCGCGGACAGTCTATGTATTTTATCGGCAGTTGAGTGCGTCATTGCATTGTTTATTTGCATTGTCTGCGCTTGATTGTTTAAAGCAGCTCGCAGCTCGCAAATACCGTATTTCTGGAGCCGCGAATCAGCGTGTGAACGCTCGACCGCGTATTTGTCTCAGATACGGTATTTCGCAAATCTGGTATTTCAGAAATACGAGGTCTCGTGTGAACGAGGCTATTACTGCGCGCATGCATGCATACATGCAGACAAGTAGCCGGTTACGCACGCAGGCAGATACTTAACAGCTTTAATGAGCCGAGCAGAAATTAAAGTCGGTAGGGCCATGAGATCTTCCGCGCTCGCTCTCTCTTTCTCCTGTTATCTTACTCCCCCCTCTCTCTTTCTGTCTCTCTATTAATTTCGTTTGCTCTCCGTGTCTTCCTCGCACTCGCTTCCCTTTTCAATCACTCTCACACACATACACCAGTCAGACACACCGGCCATACACGTGTATGTGTACCTTAGGCGCGTTGTTAATTTTTTATAACGTTATGATGTTCGTGATTCCTAACCGATAAATGGTTTAACATAGACTGCACGACAGTTCGCCCCTGCTCCTTTAGCCAAAATGGCAGAAAATGGATTTGCAATAACTACTGCGTCGGAAATCCGACATACCCGATTTTTGGTCGGCCCACGTGCGCTTGTATCACTCGCAGGTTAACATAGTCATGCCATTGCAACGTGTTCAGTCTTGGATGTTGTGAATTGTCAAGTAGAATCACAGTAATCATCCGGACTAACGATATCCCTGGATGCAAAACGCAGAAATAACCGCGAATAATTCGTAGTGTTTACGGTAAAAATCAACATTCCGACTGCAAGATATCGGACATTAATTGCTGTCACGAAGAAAACAGCATGTTTATGCGAAACACGTGATAACCGCATGTTTCTACCAGTTGGTCGAATCAGTCACGAAGCGGGTGCTGCCTCCTGGTGTGCCAAGAGAGCTGCGCTTCCGTAATCCGTGAATGATGGGCGGTTTTATATCATATGTATCAGCCGACGGCTGACTGCGTCGCCAGTGACGGATGGCTCCGAAAACCTCGTGTAATAGAACGACAATCGACAATCTTTCTACTTCATGGATAGATTAAAATGATAGCGTGCGAGGACCGGTTCTCTGAAACAAAATTAGTTTTAACATTAGTCTTGTCATTGGCTTTTTTCTCTCATAGACTGTTGACAGACAGATGGTAAACTTACTCGCGCGCGAAAAGGTCACGAGAAGGTCATGCCACGCGCGCCTTTTGTTTCTGTTTTTGATAATGTTCTAATTTTGTTTTCGATCATAGACTTTCACTTTCCATTAGTTAAAGTTACGCTTGAAGAGTGGAATAGCAGCTAGT